CTGTATTTTGTTTCTCTTAAGGGTTAGGGTGTGAGTCAGGGTTATGTTATAGTATTTTATAACTAGTCCAGTATGAAAACAATATATATCTATGGAATGTCCCCATTTAGATAACGTGTCAATGTGTGTGTGTGTATGTGTGTGCGTTTGATATGGCATGACTATTTGGACTTTTGCTCCTTTCTTTGCAACAGTATCAAACTCTTGATAATAAAACATCACATTTACCCATCAAGAATGTAGAAAACATTATTACACTGTACATATAAAATACAAAAGTAACCAATGTAGTGTCTAGAGTTAAAGAAAACGACACTTCAACACATTGAAACACGTCAAGTCAAAGATACACAGGTGGTCTGACCTTCAGTTGCGACTTGGACACTTTTCCGCTCTGCTCTACATCCAGAGACGTGAACGCGTACCAGATGGACTTCAGCAGCTCGCTTTGTAGATCCATAACGCCAGTAATGACACATCCTGCTTACATTCTGAGACAGATACCGCTTTACATTGCGGAACTGAGACGCTGGCTGTGCCTAAAAACCTTGCGAGCTGCCTACCTAGGCAGCATTGTGGGTAACACAGGCGCATGCAACATATTGCGCATCGTAAACGCGTTCCAAGCAGAGCTTTACCGCAGCCAGAAACGCGTCTATGATGCCCAAAATGCTGTCTAGGTAGGCAGTTCGTTATATTTTGAGACACAACCTGAGTACCGAATAAAACGCACCAGCTGGGAGGGGACAGTTAGTGCTGGTGAACTTAAAACCTCGTTTTAGAACGTGAGTAATGTGGAAGAATAAATAACGTCATGTTATTACTTGACAAGGTGTCATTTAGGCCTAAAGTACCACAATCAACAAAACTTCTCAATTCTTATTAAGTAGCCTTTTGTTTAGAAGGCAATGAAATTACAACTTCAATAAGCGTAATATGATTCTATTAATTGGTAATGGCTACAAATTGTGATAAAGATAGAAAACATATCAATTATTTTACCTGAATGAGCAGTTCTGTGGAGGAAAGAACTGGAATATTTTATTCCAACGAAATGAACGAATCAGCCATCACAGTAAAATGATGTAAGTAAAACTATTAAATTATTTAGGCTATATTTTCTTTTTTTCTATAGCTTCATGAAAGTCAAAACAGAGTGATAAAATATGATATCTGCAGTTGTGTGTGTTTCAAAAACGTTTATGACTCTTAACAACACTGCGCAATATCTTAGTATATTTGTAGACACAATTTTAATGACTTGTTTCAGTCGTGAATGATTCATGAATAATTCGTGATTCGTGAATAATTCAATGATCTGCTTGTGGCATAACGATGTACCTTTGCACAAGGATTGTATAATGATATTTTTTCTCCAAGAATACAAAATCTTGCAGAAAGAGTCACTTTTTTTATTTAATTTTTTGCAGTGCATAGGGCAGCATGTGAATGAGGTTAACTAAGTGAGGTTAAGTGTTCTGTGGGTGTGAAAGTAATGAGTGGAAGCACTTCTATCTCTGGTCAAGGTTCACTCATGCAGCTCAGGTGGGAGTGAATCTGCTAGTACTGCATGTTTTGTTCAGACTTACAAAGCTACTTTAAGAAGTCAGAGAAACTGTACTCTGCAATATTGGCTTTAATCATCTTAATTTATAAATATCCAGATACTGTTCTTGACTCATGGTCATCTAACATTATAAAAGCAGCAAAAGTAAATTAAAAGACCACTAGAGGGAAAGTTTCCAAGTCCATCTAAAGAATAATATATGAAGCAAGTTATAAGTGCACCTCTGAGTTTTACTTCCTCAAGACTATCTTGGCCAGTATATAAGAGGAAACTAACGTGTGAAAGACGTGTAAAAATAAAATTCCACATTATAGTTCAGAAGCTTCCTCCAACTCTAAAGTTATAACATCAGGTGACATCAGATACAACAGTCCTTGGACTATGATGTTATAATGTCAAATGTCACTTTCATATCACATACAGTTAACTGACTTTGACTAAATATTTCTTGCAGAGCTCTGATGCTCTGATATATAATGTAATATGAGCTGAGCTGGACTCCAGGTTCAGTATAAATTGCTAAGTTGTTCAGCATAAATGTCAAATTCAAATCACATACATTTAACATTTTGCGCATCATAAACGCTTTACCGCAGATTTGAGGACTGGAAACCTTTCTGTGATGCCCAAAATGCTGTCTATAGGCAGCTTGTTAGATTTTGAGACACAACCTGAATACTGAGTTAAATGCACCAGCTGGGAGGGGACAGTTACTGCTGGCGATCTTAAAACCTCAGTTTAGACCGCAAGTAATGTGGAAGAATAAATAATGCCCGTGTTATAACATCAGGTGGCGTTAGATAAAACAGTCCTTGAACTATGTTATAATGCCAAATGTCACTTTCATATCACATGCAGTTACCTGACTAATTATTTCTTGCAGAGCTCTGATATATAATATAATATAATTTAATACACAAACCCCAGACTGACAGCTGACCTAGTAGGGCTGGACAATAATTCGATTTTGAGACACAACCTGAATACTGAGTTAAATGCACCAGCTGGGAGGGGACAGTTACTGCTGGCGATCTTAAAACCTCAGTTTAGACCGCAAGTAATGTGGAAGAATAAATAATGCCCGTGTTATAACATCAGGTGGCGTTAGATAAAACAGTCCTTGAACTATGTTATAATGCCAAATGTCACTTTCATATCACATGCAGTTACCTGACTAATTATTTCTTGCAGAGCTCTGATATATAATATAATATAATTTAATACACAAACCCCAGACTGACAGCTGACCTAGTAGGGCTGGACAATAATTAAATATTAATATGTATCGCGATATACTTTTTTTTCAATAACGGTGATATGATTTTTAAACACATTTCCGATATTTCGATATACATTACCAGTTTCCCATACATTGATCCTAGTTGGACTCCAGGTTGCTAAGTTGTTCAGTATAAATGTCAAATGTCACTTTCAAATAATATACAATAAAGATTATAAGAACATCTTAAGGCAAGGAAAAAAAAACAGCTTTAAGATCGGAGTACAGGTGATGATAATGTACACTTGTTATACATTATAGAATTATATCTTTATAATAATATTAATCTATTATATATATATATATATATATATATATAATGAACATTATAATATAATATAATTTATTATATAATACACAAACACACAAACCCCAGACGGCATATAAATTAAGCTCATTCTACAGCATTTGTGGCATAATGCTGGTTACCACAAAATTATTTTCCACTTCCTCCTTTTTGTTATAAAAAGGCATAAATCTTGGTTACAGTGAGACACTGAAAATGAAGTGAATCCACAAACGTTAAAATACTTACTGTTCTTATAGTATAGTCAAGAGACGTAAAGAATATACATGTTAAAATAATTTTAGAGAGGTGGAAAACAAATAAACAAATAAACAAAAATCACTCTTCTGTGTAGAAGTTCAATTTATTTCATATCATTTAAATTGTACAACTTTGTCACCAAGAAATGCAATTCTGTAAAAAAAATAAAATGAATGCAAAGATTATGATTTAAACGTTTTAGCTCAAATAAATGTTTTAACAGAAGAATTAAAGAAGTGCTGTTATAAAATTATAAGCTTCACATTTCTGGTTTTAAATTTTCCAGAGATTGGCCCTAATCACTTCCATTGTAAAGGCCTCACTGTTTCCTTTCAGTATTTTCAAAAATGAGGTATGAGTCAAAATATTTTTGTAGTAAACATCATTACATCACAAGTGTACTAAGAAGAAACTCGAAAAGAATTACTATGCCAAAAATAGCCTGATGTTTCAGACAAATGATGAACCAGACTCAGTTCTGGCTTACCAACCGGTCGTCAGACAATATGTATTCAAGAGCTGGCTCATGTTCTTAGGAGAGATCTGGCCATATCTAGACAATCTGTACTAAGAAGGTCAGATTGTGTTGTGCATAGAGCATGTCATTCTTTCTTGAGTGTTCAGTCACACCTGCACTGATCAACATGTACATACATACAACACAGCCCACCTTTGACACATCACAGACCCCCCTCACTCCCTTTCTATCACAAACACAGTCACACATGCTTTCCAACAAGATTGGGAGGGACAGTCACCCTTGACAGGATGCATGCTGTGGGCCTCTGATGTAATTCCCTCATGCTTCCTGTTGGTGCTTAAACCTGATACACCTCCCACATCCCAACGCTGCTTATAAATACAAAAGAGAGGGATGCTGGCCCAATTAAGAGAGTCCGACTTCATAGACATGGACAAAATGTGCCTTTAAGTGTACGTCTGGCATGGATGCACCCTATTCTTGTGAAATTTCTCTCAAAACCTTACAGGTAAGGCTTCATAATCAACTCATCATACCAATGAGTATGTTAGTTTAAACTGATGGACAAGAAATAAATTTATTCAAATACACTTGAATAAATGCAGGATTTCATTTAACATCAGTGTCGTCTGATATTATAGTGAAACTGATTAAGAATAAGTGGTTTCAGGATAAGGTTTTCCATTGTGTTTGCACGTATGGTTCTAAAATAAACCTCCTTATTCAGAGAAGGATATTGGTTTCTGATGTCAATGGGTTCAGTGATCTTAGTGCAGACCTGGAAGAGCTGGTCTATTGAACAAGGAGGTACAGCCAGAGAAAGGGAGAAGGGCTCTTTTGGTCTGTTCGATCAGATTGTTCTGACACAGGGGAGGCGAGACCCTCTAAGTGTTCGCTTATCTGGACTAGCCATCCTAGAAAAAGAGAGAAAGAAAATGAAACGTTGACAGCAGGTAGAAAATTTACAATCCGACTGATTTATGTATAACATGATGTGTGCTTACATTTTCATTGGCAGCAGCAAATCGAAATTAATCTGAAATCTAATCAATCTGCTTTTCTTTTTTTCTAACAGAAGAGATACAACCCAAGCAGATTTTCACAGACAAACAAATCAGGCAATACGATGGACGAGTGTTTTCATGAAAATGATTACCACGTGTCACGACGTATCTACTCAAACCGGGTCTTTGACCAGGTTCATGAGAGACAAGCCCAAGAGATCCAGAGTTTACGAGAACGGCTGAGCAGAGCCTGCAGGTGAGTATATGAGAAGAACTTGATGTCATATCATCGAGTGTTTTCATCTTCATATTCATTCATATAAAATGAATTCTCCACAGATGCACTGATAAATGGGCTGTTCAGAAGATAAAGGGGCTTCTGCCAATCCTGGATTGGCTTCCTAAATACCCAGTCAAGCAATGGTTACCCGGTGATGTCGTTTCTGGGGTCACCACAGGACTAGTATGCTGTTTACAAGGTAAGATGCAATCTGTGAACAAAACCCCAGTTTAGTATCAGCATGATGCCATTTCAACGTCATTGTTTGAATTTGTTGTACAGGTGTGGCTTATGCATTGCTGGCCTCTGTTGCACCAGTCTATGGACTCTACTCTGCGTTTTTTCCTATTCTTACATACTTTGTGCTTGGCACATCCAGACACATCTCTGTGGGTAGGTCTATGGCTTTTAGTGGTATCAAATAAGCAACCCTTTAAAAAAGATCTACTGCATGCATTCTACTTACTATTTTATGTGAAACGGTTTCAGTATATAACAGTAAATGCATGTTTTATTCTGTAAAAATGGCATGCAGTTATTATCTTGGATATGGTTATTTTGTCATCTAATCCAATTTTATGTAGAAAATGTCTTGATTGCTTGAAATGCAATTAAATAAAAAATAATGATTCAAGAAAATGAAAAGGATAATATTACTTTGAGTTTATTCATAATGGATACTGTATTCTATGCATTGCACAGTGTTGTATACAAATGTAGCAATCCGTGCAATTATTTTATGCATATAGAAAGTGTCTAAATAAATACTGAATAAATGTGCAACGCTTTCTTGTCATTCTCTTTATTTGTCTCTATCTCTCATTTAGGTCCATTCCCTGTCACCTGTCTGATGGTGGGCTCTGTAGTTTTGACCTTAGCTCCTGATGAGCACTTTCTGCGTCCAGTGAACATCACAGGTGTGAATGAGACAGTGACAGATGAAAGGTTAATGGAGGTTGATGTAGAGGCAAGAGAGGCCCAGAGAATCCTGGTGGCTTGTACCATGACGTTGTTGGTTGGATTATTCCAGGTAAAGTCACAAAATTCGCAATTAAAACCTGTGATAAAGATAAAATAAAAAGTTATACATTTTGTAATTGTAGTATTTCATGTTGAAAAAAATGCAGATTTTTAAATTTTTTTTGTCAGCAGTGCATTGCTGCATCTCAAATTTGTTTTACTTAATCTCAGGTGGCTATGGGGCTGATGCAGGTGGGCTTTCTAGTCAGGTATCTCTCAGACCCACTGGTAGGTGGCTTCACCACTGCTGCTGCCTTTCATGTCTTCATATCTCAGATTAAAACCATTGTGTCTGTTCCTATACACAACCATAATGGATTCTTCTCCTTTGCTTATGTGAGTCTCTTAAATCATTAATATCTTTACAATCTATAATATCTTTTATCTCAGACTCAAAAACTTACTGTATATTGTGATGTGTGTGTGCGTTACTTTTAATAATTTCACTAGTGGTCTCAAAATATTGGACCCTACTATATAGGCTGAGACTAGTAAAAAATTGAAAAAACTAAAACAGATAATATAATTTATAATATTTGTATTTAAAATGTACTAGTGTTTTTACTTTATATATTTTATAAATATAATAATAAATACACTTTACATTTTATATATTATATTATACATTTTTATATTATTATTATTATTATTAATGTATGTTTTCCACATCTAGACCCTCATTGATGTAAGTAGGAACATCAACCAAATGAACATTGCGGACTTGATTGCTGGATTACTAACAATCTTCATTGTTATGGCTGTGAAAGAGATCAACACAAAATTTCAGCATAAAATCCCAGTGCCGATTCCCATAGAAGTGATTGTGGTATGTACAGTTTTCCCACAATTCTCCCATACAGTCTTAAAAAAAAAAAAAACTTGTAAGCCTGTAAGCCTCTGACACGAACATGATTTTTTTTAAATAATGATTCCCACAATTCTCCCATACAAAACAAACTAAGCCTGTAGGGCTCTGATACTGACATGATTTTTTAAAATAATGACTGTCGTTACCTTTCACTCTTTCGAACTGTTAGACAGTGATAGCTTCTGCTATCTCTCATGTGATGGACCTAAACTCCCAGTACGGCGCCAGCATTGTCCACAGCCTCCCCAGGGGGTAAGAGCACTTCCTGTGGCATTTCCTGCTTCCTGATGAGGGCTGGGTGCACATTCAGTCACTTTATATTGACATACTATTATTGTCCCTGTAATGATTTTCAGCAGAAATGTCATCTTTAGAACAATGACACTGACAGACTGTTTAAAATCCTTTATGCAATAATAACATAAAACAGTGTTATGTTAAAAACAATAGCAGCATACTACATCAGAGACAACAGCATAAAACACTCACAGTACAAGTAGTGTACAAAACTGGTATGTGAATCTGTAGTAAAACAGTATGTCTGCTTGTGTTTCCACAGGTTTGCACTGCCACAAATACCAAATATAGCACTTACTGGGAATATTTTGGGCTCTAGTTTTTCCACTGCAGTGGTTGGTTATGCAGTAGCAGTCTCAGTGGCAAAAGTCCACGCAGCAAAACATGATTACACAGTCGATGGCAACCAGGTATACAAAAATACTGTGTGAATGTGTCTTGACACTGCAATTATGCTTTAGTCCAATGGCTAAATTAGCATAGTAAAATGATTTGTGCAGAACACAATGCATTTTGTGCTTTTTAGGTGGCAAAACCAGCTGAGAACTACAGCTTTAGTTGGTTTCTTGCAAGAAATGTGGGTGCTATTAATAAGTACTGAGGGAAGAAAAAAAAAGCAAGTGTTCTTATTTTAGTGTGAAGCATTTTTTAAGTATAATAAGGGTCAGATTAGCACTCTCCCACTGATGAAAAAATGACAGTAACGTGAGGGAGAGCCAGAAAGAACTAGTTCACCTGCCAGAACATTCCAAATTTGAGTTTGCAAAAGTAGCCGATACCTTTTCTAAACTAGGCAGTGCAGCATAGAGCTTCAGGGCATGGCTACAGTGATTTTTGTTTTGTTTTGTTTTGTTAACAAAACAAATCCTTAAAGATTCTGGTTAGGATTTTGTTTAAAAAAAGTATTTGCATACTGATTTGTGATTGGCCTTTTAAGGTCACTTTTCCATTACCTGCCAGCACAGAACGAATCTGAGTTTATAACAGTGACTATTTTTTTCTAAACCAGACAGTGCAAAGCTTTAGGGCATAGCTACATTTGTTTCATTTTGTTTGTTTTGTTTCTCATGTCGTTTAACACTTTGTTTGTTTTGTTTCATTTAACATTTTGTTTCGCGTTTTGTTTCTTGTTTCGCGTTTTGCTTTGTTTTGTTTTGTTTCATTTTGTTAGCACTTAAAACACAACAAATCCTTGAAGATTTTAAATGTATTTGCATACTGATTTCTGATTGGTTTTAAGGTCACTTTCACCTTCCAAAACTAAATGAAAGCGTTTACAGGAGCTGATATCATTAAATAAACACATTATATAAACCATGCAGTGCATTGCAGAGCTTTAGGGGACAGCTACATTTGTTTCATTTTCTTTGGTTTTGTTTTGTTTATTTTCTCGTTTTGTTTAATTTGTTCTTTCGTTTCACGTTTCACGTTTCATGTTTTTGTTTCATTTCACATTGCCTTTTCATTTTTTGCTTTGTTTCATTTGTTTTGCTTCATTTTTTTAGCACTATAAACAAAACAAATCCTTGAAGATTTAAAAATGTATTTGCATACTGATTTATGATTCGTTTTAAGCAAATGAATGCGAGTTTACAACAGGAGCTGGCATCATTTAACATACATTATAAAAACCATGCAGTGCAGTTTTAGGGTACAGCTACATTTGTTTTGTGAGCACTGTAAACAAAACAAATACTTAAAGATTCAGATTAGGGGTCAGATCAAAATATATTTGCAACCTAGGATTACATTTTTGTTCAGTGGATACCAAAAAGTGAATTGCTGGTATTTAATTGATACTTTTAAAGGCCACTTTCACCTGCCAAAACAGAACGAGTCTGAGTTTGCAGCAGCAGTTGATATAATTTCTAAACCCGGCAGTGCAGCATAGAGCTTTACTACACAGCTACATTTGTTTTGTTTTGTTAGCACTGTAATTTATTTTCATACTGATTTGTTATTGGTACAACCTCTGTCAAAAATATGGAATCAACACACTTAGATGTTTACCCATTTTTTTTTACTTCATAACAAATTAACGAATCACAGATATCACACAAAACAATTTTTGTTTAATAATTCAACATTCTGGTTATGTGAAACGTACCTCAAAAAAGATATTAAACTTTTAATGAATGAAAATTTGTTTTCCATATCAGAGGAAAAAAATATGGAATCATTCAATGTTGAGGAAAAAATAATGGAATCATCTACCAAAACACACAGTTAGTACTTTGTTGCTCCTCCACTTGCTTTTATGACAGCCTGAATTCTTTGGGGCATGGCCTTCACTAATGAAAAACAATATTCTTCATCAAGCTGGTTCCAACTTTGTCCAATAGCGGTTGACAGATCAGCTTTGCAAGATGGAGCCTTGTCATGGACCAGTTTTTTCAATTTCCACCATAAATTTTCAACCGTTTGCTGGCCATGTCATTGAGATGATATGCCTTTCCTGAAGAAAAGCTTTAACACTCTTTGCTCTGTGGAAAGATGCATTGTCATCCTGAAAAATGACATCATCACCAAACTTCTTTTCTATTGATGGAATGAATATGAATTCAATATGAATATTCTATTGATTTCAATGTTCACTTGTGCATTAACTGTTGAGGAAAGGATTGCCATTTCCCCTGGTCCTTACCTGACATGCAACCCCATATCAAAAATGAGTTAGGAAATGTAGTTTTTTTCTTCAGGCAGTCATCTTTATACATTTCATTAGAATGGCACCAAACAAAAGTTTCAGCATCATCTCCTTGTCCAATGCAGATTCGTGATTCATCACTGAATATCACTTTCATCCAATCATCCACACTCCACGACTGCTTCTCTTTAGCCCACTGTAACCTTGTGAATATTCTATTGATTTCAATGTTCACTTGTGCATTAACTGTTGAGGAAAGGATTGCCATTTCCCCTGGTCCTTTACCTGACATGCAACCCCATATCAAAAATGAGTTAGGAAATGTAGTTGTTTTCTTCAGGCAGTCATCTTTATACATTTCATTAGAATGGCACCAAACAAAAGTTTCAGCATCATCTCCTTGTCCAATGCAGATTCGTGATTCATCACTGAATATCACTTTCATCCAATCATCCACACTCCACGACTGCTTCTCTTTAGCCCACTGTAACCTTGCTTTCTTGTTTAGGTGTTAATGCTGGTTTTCGTTTGGCTTTTCTATATTTAAATCTCATTTAATTCAGCCAGTTTCTTACAGTTCTTTCACACACATTGACTCCTGTTTCCGCCCATTTGTTTCGTTGTGCATTTTCTATTTTCAAGGCAAATTGCTTTGAGTTTTCTATCCTGACGCTTTGAGGTCTTCCTTGGTCTGCCTGTATGTTTTCCTTTTGTAACCTTTCCATTTTGTTTATACTTGCACCAAATTTTAGAAACAGCTGACTGGGAACATCCAACTTCTTTTGCCACACTCTGTGATGGATTTCCTTTTTGAAGGAGTTTTATAATCCTTTCCATTGTTTCAACAGACAGCTCTCTTGTTGGAGTCATGTTTCCTTTCAATTAGCCAAGTCCAACAGCTCGTTAAGGTCTGGAAGCACTCTCTGTTTAACTGCTGATTAATTAGCATTTTAGATATGTGCCGGTATTTATTTCAGAAATGCAAATTACAAGCTGATTCCATATTTTTTTCCTCAACATTGAAGGATTCCATAATTTTTTCCCTCTACTTGATATTGTGATTTGTTTGTTATTTATTTTTATATAGTTTAAATGTTTATTATATTTTTTATATAGTATATATCTGATGTTTATATAAAATATTATATTTTTTATGCAATTTTGATATTTTTTTATAGTTTCTTTATTTAAAGTATCTTCTAAGTGTGGTGATTCCATAATTTTTTGCCAAGGGTTGTATTCAAATCTTTTTTTTTTTTTGTTTCTTTGTTTTGTAGATACCATAAAGACTGCATTTCTGGTGATTAATTGATACAGATTGATTATAAACTGTCTGATCTGGTCTACTACACTTCTATTCCCATTAGGAGCTGATAGCTTTTGGCGTCAGCAATATTTTTGGAGGATGTTTCTCAAGCTTTGTGGCCAGCACTGCATTGTCACGGACAGCAGTACAGGAAAGCACAGGGGGGAAGAGTCAGGTAAAATGCACATGCTCTAACTCCAGCACTTTTACAAGTGTGTGTGTGTATGTGTGTGTGTGTAAATGCAATACTCCCTGTTTAACTGTTCCCTCCTCTCACTATTGCAGATTGCTGGTATCATCTCAGCTCTGATGGTGATGATAGTGATTTTGGCCCTTGGGCCATTTCTTCAGCCTTTGCAGAAGGTGTGGTGGAGGAGCCTAATGTTTTAATAGAGAACATTCGTCATTCAACAACATTCGACATTCGTTGCAATATTCTTCATGCAACTCATGATGTCATCCCTCTCTGTCCCACAGTCAGTGCTGGCTGGCATTGTTATAGCCAACCTGAAGGGCATGTTCATGCAGATCTCAGAAGTGCCTGTACTCTGGAGACAGAACAGAACAGACTGTGTAAGTAACATCACAAGCCTGATAAATGAACAGAATGAGATGAGTACTGGTAGAAAAATAGTCAAAAGATGAGACAAGCTTTTTGAAACATCAGATATGAAAGACTGTGTACAAGTATAACAAGTTTCTGTTAAACAATCCTTTTTTGAGGATTATAACATTAATTAGTGCTCTGATTACCTTAAGCAAATGGAATCATGTGAATCATTTTATTTGTATAAAAATTAGATTACACTCGTTTGACATGAGTGCATATGAATCCTTATACTTCTGCAGCTCATCTGGATAGCTACGTGCCTGGCATCCATTGTGCTGGGTTTAGATGTGGGTCTGCTGGCTGGTCTGGTATTTGAGATGGGCACAGTGGTGGTCAGAACACAATTGTAAGTAGCACAGTTGTAAAGACTTTAAAGTGCGCTTGAGTGTAAAGTACACAAAACTGGTTACATTTTTTTTTACTTGACGCAAAGCAAATTTATTTTTTACATTTTGTTTTTTAGTAAGGTTTTGGTATATTTGTTGAGAAATGTCACAACTGCTTTTTAATCTGAATTAGTGCAGCTTGATGTTTATGATATAGCTCAAATGATGAGTGTAAATATTGTCAATAATAAGGGTATAATATTAATGTTAATCACATATTAATCACATATATGCTTGTTTTGTAAAATTTAACAGAATTCCAAGTAGTATAAAAGAATAAGTACTGTTAAATACAAATTAGAATATGTAAATATATGTAAATTAATTGTGACATTACATTTAAATGTAATGTAAATTAAAGGTGCAGTAGGAGATCTTGGAAAATGCTAACTTTAGCCTGATAGCACTGAAAGCGAACGTCCCACCCTCCCTGCAATCGACGTCCAAAGCCACGCCCCCTGAATACATATACGCTGACAGACCAGAATACCAGAGACAAGTTACAATAGGCTACATCAGCGGTTCCCAATTCCAGTCCTTGCACCCCTCCTGCTCTGCACATTTCATATGTATCTCTTATCGTTTCAGAAAGGCGTTGCATAGAGGAGAAACGATAATGTACAGTATGTGGAAAATAATGTGTTTTTTGAACCTTAAACCGCATAAACACATTTCATTACACCAAATACACAAAATAATGTTCTTTTTAGCAACATCATATGACCCCTTTAACTTAATGATTGCTATCGGGATGTGAAGAGACTTTCAACCAGCATAACAAAAAAATTTTCTGAAGACAATCACCTATTGCACCTTTAATTGTGAAACATAAATCATGGTGAATTTTGTTTTTAAAGACATGTATTTGAAGATTAAACTCTTATTTCATTCAGCCCTTCTTGTGCCACTCTTGGAAATGTCCCAAATACTAATATCTACAAAAACATGAAGGACTACAAAAATGTAAGATGCACATTTTCATGTTGTCAATAATCAGTAACTTGACACAACATATATACGAACATTATACATGTTTTAAACTAACATGGTATTTCCCAAAACTTTCAGATTGATGAAATTCCTGGAATAAAGATCTTCAAGTGCAACTCACCCATTTACTTTGCAAATATTGATTACTTCAAAGAGAAGCTGAGAGAAGAGGTGAGTTTACTTTACTGTAATTCTAAATTCTGAAAAGATAAACTATATGATTTGATTTGGTTTGAAAAAAAAATAAAACATGGTGTGCTTATTAATTCTTACAGGTGGGGTTTGATGCAGTGCGGGTGTTCAAGAAAAGAAATAAAGCTTTGAAGAAGATTCACAAACTCATTAAAAAAGGAAAACTACAAGCAACAGAGGTACGTTCTGCACAACAGATTCTCGCAAAGTATCTGTAAATCAAACATTTGAAATTTTTTGGAATGCTTTCAAGAAAAAAAACTTATTTTGATCACCGACCTTTTATTACAACACATTCTGGTCTTTCCCATTTCTGCCCTTTCCCATATCTGCTGTCCTTCACAGAATGGTTTGGTGCCAGTGGCCTCACTGGGAGTAGAAAACCAAGCCTTTGAAAAAGAGCAGGTTCCTGAGCTGGAGGAAGGGGCGTCTCAGCTAGACTCAGAGGTGAAGGTTCAGGTAGACTGGACGTCTGAGCTGCCTGTCAGTGTGTCAGTACCCACAGTCCATTTTCACAGCCTCGTGGTGGACTTTTCTGCTGTCTCATTCCTGGACGTGGTAGCAGCCAAGTCCCTCAAACTGGTGCGTTTATTGCTTTATCTTTATTGCTCTTAACTGAGTCATCGTTACATTGCAATAATGCATATCCACAATATGATGGTGACCTTCATGTCATTCCAAACCTGTATGACTTTCTGTCTTCCACAGAACACAAAAGATGATATTTTGAAAAAGGCCTCATTGTTTGATTGTCCATACAATGAAAGTCAATGGAGTCCAGTGTTGTTTTGAACCCCACTGACTTTCATCGAATTGTCTTCAAAATATCTTCTTGTGTGTTTCAAATAAGAAAGGTTTGGAACGATGTGGAGCAAAACCAAGCAGTAGCTAATTCGTCCCATCTTCACAGGTGGTGAAGGAATTCATACGAATTGGGGTCAGCGTCTACATCGCAGGCTGTGATGGTAAGGCCTGAGCTGGTCGTGGCCTAATGGTTAGAGAGTCGGACTCATAACCCAAAGGTTGTGGGTTCGAGTCTCGTACCAGCAGGGATTGTAGGTGGGGGGAGTGAATGTACAGCGCTCTCTCCCACCTTCAATACCACGACTGAGGTGCCCTTGAGCAAGGCACCGAACCCCCAACTGCTCCCCGGGCGCCGCAGCATAAAATGGCTGCCCACTGCTCCGGGTGTGTGTTCACGGTGTGTGTGTGTGTGTTCACTGCTGTGTGTGTGCACTTTGGATGGGTAAATGCAGAGCACTAATTCCGAGTATGGGTCACCATACTTGGCCACATGTCACGTCACTGTTGCTACAAACTCCAGCATGATAATGGTAGGTTAGGACACGGTGAATAACCTAAAGGGTCCTTGTGCCACAGGTGAGCTTGTCAGGAGAATGGAGGCCCTGTCCTTCTTTGATGAAGAGGTTACTAGAGATATTCTCTTCCTCTCCGTCCATGACGCCATTCTATTCATTCAGCTGGAAACCTCCACTGGAAATGATGAGGATCCATTAGCTGAGAAGGTAAGATTAACATTTTAAACTTGAGGGGTGACTGAATAGTGACAGAATAGTTTGTGATCTCACAGAAAAAACACTTTTTGCAAAAAGGACATGGTGAATATATTACCTGTGTTCATGTAGATCTTATACATGCCAACAGTTCCATGTGTCAACTGACCCTTCGCAAAGACCCACCCCCCTTCATTACTGTTGCTACGTCTGACAAGCCATGCTGCTCTCACACCACACATCAGGTTCTCACGCAGTGAAAAATACATCTTGGACCAAAGAAATTCAAACAATAAATACCGTTTTGTGGCTCTTTAATGTGTCGTGACAGATCACTGTAGCACCTCAGTTCAAGTGGCACGTGAACTGATCGTCTCTTCCTCTTTACTAGTTATAGCACAAAATAAACATGAATGAACATGAGACGGTATCTTGCTTCAACCGCCGAAAGATGTCAATACACACCATTTTTCAAGTTCAAGTCCACTGATGTTAATCTACTCTCCTGTTTGGTGTGTTTGCCGGACAAATTGGCAGATTCGGCTTTATGATTGGTCAGATCACCTGTCAATCAAACTCCCGGTGAAGGGTCAATTGTCTCATAATAAAGCTGCTCAATGATAACATGAATTTGGAGGTGACTGATACATTTCTTGTTGGCTTATTGAACCTGATAATTTGGGTGATTATAAATCCTGATAATCAAAGCTACAAGATAAACAAGATATAATAAAAGGAATGTTTCGGCACATGCTGATATTGCTCAATGAGGAAAAAATTACCCATGGAGAAAAACAATGGCTACTAGTTAAAGTGGCCAGTTGTAACATGATGCAACATGACGGATGTCATCTCCCGCTCTTCGCCCCTTCCAACCTAACAAACAATCTGACAAAGGAAATAATAAAGAAAACGGAAGTGATCACCCACGTGACCGTGAATAACCAATAAGAAATAAGAAAGAATGAATGCTCTTACATTCCGGCCCCATGATTATTACAAAAAAGAGAGATAATAATCATCATCATCAATTAACAACAACAATAAATACATACATAAATTGTACAACATACAAAATCATTTACAAACATACAAATATACTTATATATGTGTGTGTGTATGCATTTGTCCATGTAAAAAACAAATAAATAAATAAATGTCTGTATATCTTCTAGTCCAAATCTTAAGTCATGTCAGTCAAAAAGGGTCCAAGAAAAGTCTGTCTATAAGTCAGTCATCATATCCATGTCATTACGTCCGTACGTCATTGAGCGCTCAACAAAAAAATCAATTACAGTCTTCTTCAGCTTCAAGAAGTAGACAAATCTTGGTGACCGGTCTGTCTAAGCAGTTGTACCTTGTTTTAATCCTTACTTGGCGAATCAATCCCCTTTTATCTGGTGTAGTATGAATGGTTTCACCCATAATCCAGTTTCGAGGGGCAGCATCATTGACAACAAGTACAACATCTCCCACTTGAAAATGTATTCTCTTTACCATTTCTGTCGTTCCTGTAGCTGAGGTAAGTATTCATTTAGCCATCTCCTCAAAAACCGGTCGGTCATGTACTGTACTTGTCACCATCTATGACACACGTATATGTCTACGACACACGTAATGATAATTGACTCCACTTCGCACAAAAGCGTATGAAGACTCTCTTCATCTATACTCTGCCCTCTCAAGATTGAATTCATAATCTTCCTCACTGATCGAATCATCCTCTCCCAAACACCTCCGTGATGAGATGCTGTAGGAGGATTAAATATCCATTTGATACTCTTCTGGATTAGAACATCACTGATCTTATCATGGTTCCAGTTTTTTATGGCTTCTCTCAATTCTCGTTCGGCTCCAACAAAGTTGGTTCCATCATCTGAACATAACTCTGATACTTGACCACGTCGTGCCATGAACCGTCGCAAAGCATGAATGAAAGAATCTGTATCTAATGATGCAACCACTTCGATATGTATGACTCTTATTGACAAACAGGTAAAAGTGACTACATTTTGCTTCACAGTGCTTCGTCCACGTTTGATCTCAAATGGACCAAAACAATCAACTCCAACTCGAGTAAATGGTGGTTCATCTGGTGAGACTCTACTTGAAGGTAAATTTGCCATCTGCTGGCATCCTGTTGTTCCTTGAAATCATTTGCAGATTACACATCTGGACAGAACTCTACGTATGGCTGAACTTGCTCCTGGTATCCAATATCGTTTACGTAGCCTAGCCAACATGTAATTCCGTCCACTGTGTCCGACCTCATTGTGAATATGCCTTAAGAGGAGCTCAGAAATATGCAGATCCTTTGGCAGTATTATTGGATGCTTTGATTCTTCAGGCATGACTGCATTATCCAGACATCCATACGTTCTTATTACACCTGCCTCAAGTATTGGATTGAGACAATACAGAGGACTGCTCCGCTTGACTTCTTCACCTCTCTGTAAAGATATCAATTCCTCTGGGAACCTCATCCTTTGGCAAAAGCGCACAATCTCCATTTCACTTTTGTCCACATTTTCATCCACTGAAAAATAGCCTTCGCCCATACTGGATTGTAGTTTACGCATGTTTTCATCAATGATAACCTTCAGTGGTTGATTAGATTCAGTACAATCGAGAGTTCTCTTCAATTGTTTTCTCCTTTTACTTAGATTTTGAAGAATTCTCTTCAGCCTAAGGATCCAGGCCACAGCCTTCCTCAGACGTGTCCATGATGAATAATGATTGATAAGCCGTGCTACAGCATCATCTCTCTCCTCAGTTTGAACCAGTAGTGTGTTAACCACAACTTCTTGCTTGATTTCTGGGTCTTGTACCAAACTCTTTTCCAAATCAGTTGGGTTATTTGGCCACTCTTCCTGTGATCTAATAAGGAAGGGAGGGCCAAACTTCCACATCTGCTCCTTAAGTAAAAGATCTAACTTTAGCCCCCTTGAGGCAAAGTCAGCAGGATTGTTGGCAGAATCTATATATCTCCACTGAGTTGCGCTGGATGCTCTCAAGATCTCAGACACTCTATTGGCAACAAAACACTTAAATCTGGAGGACTCATTTTGAATATATTTTAACACAGCAGTGCTATCAGACCAAAACACTGAATCTTGTAGCTTCATCCTTAGATCCCTTTTCCATAGCCTGTCCATTCGGC